AGAAGGATGAATATGTTGAATTGCATTGATCAGTAGCGAGGCTTAGTTGTGCCGAGAGCCAGGATGAACAGGCAACATTGGAATACCTGCTTCCTCTAAATCCCCCAGCAGCTAGCCTGCGATTAGCACAGACTGTGTGAGGGCTAATTGCAGGTTAAAGAAGCGGGCCACTCTTTCTAGCTCTCTTTTTTCAACATCCTTAGAATAAAGCCGGGTGGCAAGCTCTGGAGGACTTTTCCTGAGTTCAGCAGTACTGTCCAGACAGCCTTTGGGCCCCTTGTGGCTACTCCACCTCCTCACAGGAGAGGCCCCAGCTAGCGACCAAACAGCCTCGGCAGCAGCCTCCCAGATGTACTTATGAGCCAAGTGAAAAGGGGCCACTTCGGATCAAGACCGAGCCCCGAAGCGCCGGCGCCAGCAACCTGGCCTCCACGGATGCCAGCCAAGATCCTGGATGCTGGCTGGCAGCGAGCTCCGCAGCTGTGGATGTCATCATCAAGCGGCTTGACCGTGAGGCGGAGCAGTTGGGCAATGGCGCATGAGTTTGACCGTAATGCCGTCCATCCGCTGCAGCCGCTCTACTCCACCTCTTTGCTAATCATTGACCTGAAACCCTTTAGCCACATTAGCTAATAACTTTCCCATAATAATGGTGATTTTACCCCTCACACTGGCAATTATGTCGTCAGAGTGGGTGCGAGATTTCTCAAATAGTGGCCATTAAGTATGTGATGTTTGATAATACTGTGATTGTGATAAATGTTCTCCTTAGGATAAGAGGCAGAGCATGGTATCTCTGTAGAGGGCGGGTGTGGCTCATGGACACCTCAGTAGGGCAGAATGCTCGGATTTCGTATAATGCACGAATGTGTATGCTACACATGCTTGCAGTTTGCACCAGACGTACATGCTGCGTTCTTAGAAAACTACCCTTCAGAAAGAAAAAAACCCACCCACAACCTGATTGCGTATTGATCTTTTCAAAACACTCATGAAACATTATGGCTGCAGTCGAGCCTCGCAACGTATTCTGCCACATTTTCTCGGCCCATACTAAAATGGACACAACTATGGTCTCTATTACTGCAATGGCTTGTGACTAACGGTCTCCAAACCAAATTGAGGATTTAATAGATAGTGACTTAAAGGAGTCGAATGTTTGATGGAAGTCCAAATGAGTTACTGACACTTTACAGCAACTGCCGGCATTTCATTCACTGAATTTTCCCATTTTCAGTGTAATAAAGTTGAAATCAGTGTTTATCAGGAGATGAGATATGAGATATGATGTTATAAATGGACATGATTATTTGTGGTGCTTTCCAGACCAGAGGCCTCAGCAATATTGTAATATATGAATAGGGTAGATTATAATGGAGAACAATCAGTTGATTTGTCTGCTGGAAATGCCTCTTTCTTTGAAACAAGCACACACACCAGGTCTAGAGAGAAGTTCAATAGTCCTTATGTTGCCAATTACTGTCCATTATTCAATGACATTTCTATGGGGTATGCTTGTTTTTCCTGAACCCTAACAGTGACATCTGCTGGACATTTAGAGGACTGATTTCTATACTAAACAGGTTTAGCATGGCCAGCCGCACATATACATAGAGTTGGTGAGAAAGGAACTTGCTAGGCTTAAAATAAGTTTTATAATAATGAACAATGTTATATTACCGATTATGTCTTTACAATATGGCTTGAATGTTCCAAATGTTCTTGAATGTTTTTTTTGTTTTTTTTAATCGCATGCACATCGCTACATTTCCAGGTCGCATTAGTTTCAAGAGTAAAAACAAAACTCCAGTTAAACTACGTGAGAACTGAGCTAATTAGTAGGGAGCTCCCCACAGCTCGAGAGAGGCGACAGGTGAAGTTGCTCGTACCCTAATTAGACCCAATCACCGATCCGGGCTACCACCAGGTGAGAATCAGTTTGACGGCGCGTGACAACAGACGCGCGCAGTGTTTACGCTCGCGACGGATGCTCCGTGATTTTCTGCGTTGATACTGAGAAACTTTTACCTTCAGTGAGGTGTGCGTGAGGACTTGCTGCTGTTTGAGACCTCCGCTCTCCGTCTGCAGGACCTCGCTCAGCTCCAAGCGTTTGAAGACTTTGAGGAGCGCTGAGGGGACGAGAGGAGGCCGAGGGGACCGGCTTGTGTTGCGGACTGAGAACGGACGCGCCGGGGGATGCAGAGCAGACTGTGGAGGCCCCTTCAGACTGGTGAGTGGCCTAATTGACTTGTTGTTTAACTGTTTATTGTACAGTGAAAAGGTTGGCAACCGCTGTGTTGCAACATAGCAATGTAGAATGTGTGTCTTTGCTAAGTAGTGTGTGCACAAACTGCAGTTTCTCTTTGCTTCATGCTGTCCTGAGTCTATCATGCACACCTGTGATGTCTGCTCTGGTGACGTTTTATGCTAATATGACTGCTGTCAGGTGCATTATAGGCTAACGCTGGTTGCACCTGCCCTGGTGTCCATATTCTCATTCATTTTTGGTCATATCTCTCTAATTGTCTGGTTTTGTGTCTTTTCTGGTTGCTTCTAGAGGAAAGTGATTGTAGATAATCAGCTGTATGCAGAGGCTGCAAATGTCTATCGAGAAGGAATCTGTTGTTGGTTTGGATGTTGATGTGGGCCCCTTGATGTATGGGTCGACATCTGATCAAATGTATTTTATAACCTAAAGGTAATGTTGAAAAAACAGTATGTAAACTTGAGAATCTTATTCTAATATTATCTCCAACCCTGCAGGTAAGTGCAATAACCAACTGTTATTGTTGTAACTCACTGTACAGGTGAGAGTGTTGTGTAGCAAACTGTGCAGTTTCTCCTTCGCTTACATGTGTTTGCGAGCTGCTGTGGACTCTATATTATGCTGCACATCTGCTTTGCTGACGCTTTATTCCGCTGTTGATTCCATAACAAGTGTCATATTTAATTCATGTGGCTTAATGAGGCTCGCCGCACTCGGCGTGGTGTCTGTTGCTCATTCTGTCTGCCATTTGTTTGTCAATCGCATGTGCTGGCTGCAAATATCCGTCTATAGAGAAGGAACTTCATTGTTGGTTTTGGACATAGGCGCTCATGTGGTGTGATGGTGTTCCTAGTGGATGTGCCAGAACGTTCTCCAATTAAATAAAGACAAAGCTGACGCAATCAAGTTTGGTGGCAAAAAAAAGAGGAACCGATAGAATGTTTTACTCTGGACTCTGACCTAAATTTCAAAACCCACAACAACAGAATTACAAAATAAGCCTACTATCATGTTTGAAAATATCGTTTAAAGGACTCGTGGGTACAACAATAACTTTGTTTTTACAGGACTGGATTATTGTAGCAGTGTCTTTATTTATTTATATATGCAGTTTATTCAGAAAACTGATTACCGGATGCATCCAGTAATTGATTTCAAAACATTATTATTGACTTACAAAGCACTAAATGGTTTGTATATTTATTATAACATCAATTGAATCCCCCCCCTCATATTTTCCACGTTAACTCCAAGTACATATGAACTGAGCTACTTTTTATCAAAGTATGCTTTTGCTTGAGTATGACATTCTAGTTCTCATTCCATTCCTGGTCGTCAGAATTTCATTTGCAAAACGGGTGAGACCCAGTAACCCAATAGTTAGACGGAGCTTTATTTAGTCTTTGTTGGTCCTGTGCTTCTGGACCAAAAGTCTGTCCCACTTTCCAGATCCACTCCTGAGGGAGTTACTATTATTGGTCCTCTGCTCATGCTGCCATTGCCCGTTGGCCTGAAATGCCATATTGTCACCAGATGTGCAAGTTTGTTTACCCCACACACACACACACACAAATGTACATCAGGACCGCAAGGGCCTATAGAATACATGCACAGCTCCCCCAAGAGCACAGAGGCTGTGTCTTTTGGAGTCTCACTCTCTCTCTATGCTGTGGCTTGGCTGTAAAAATCCTCTGGGGACGGCAGAGCCTCCAGACTGCCCATACAAGTGCGGTTGCGGTGGTGGCAGTGTACAAAAGTAGGACAATGCTCGCCTAGAGGAGAGTGAAGTGGTGTTGTGAAGGAAGGTCAGAGAGGCTCACGTTCCAAGACCCATGGGTACAAATTGAACGACTAACAGTTTCTGTGTCTTGCTGAAATATATTCAAGGTGCCCTTGGCAAAATGTAAGGCCTGAGCTCTCTAAGCTGCTGGACCTTCACAGTTCTCGAGTGTGAATATAGTGGTGGTACATCACTATGTGAACCAAGGTTGTGGAGAAAAACGGCAACACACAAGCTCAGTAAATCCTTCCCATGACAAAGGTTAATGTAATAGTTGGTCCTCAACCTTTTGCGGTACATTTCAGCCGAGCAACAAAATCCCAAGACGCTTTAAATTACTGTATCGATTGTTTGAAATGTCACACAAAGTCTTGCACGTGAACAGGGGAGGGTCAGTGAGCGCTTTTAACTGCTGAACTTGGGCTAACATTGGATTAAGTTGGTGGAAAAGGTTATAATTTAGGGCCGGTGATTTTCATTGTTCTTTAAGTACATGCAGTTGTTTGACAACCTGAAGGCATTCCTCCCTTTATAGCAGGCCAACAAGGAATTCATTATTTAGTTGAATACGGAAAGTTGACTCCGAGGCAAGTGTTCAGAAGATAATTGCTCTCTATGGACGCCCTCATATCAAGAAATGACGCAATTCATGCTCGGCTGACTCCCTTTTAGAGAACAGATGGCCTAATATTGTGACTCAGCGTTTGAGACATTTCATATGCAATGAGTGTAATTGTATCTTGGATGTAACACTGTGCAACTGGTTCTCATGACACATTCTACTAATTATAGTCAGTAGCCCATGTTGTGTGTTATGCATTATTTACGAAGACATACTAGTGGAGTAAAGTTATTCATAAATGCCCAATAGTAAATGCACATTGTCTGTCTCATGCAGTAGCAGTTCAAGAAAGCAGCACTAATGACTGGTATCAGCGACAACAAAGAGTCATCTGCCCATACTAACCCCACCATATCTTCTATATTACAGACACACACTTCCATTATTTGCAGATGGTGACCCGTAAATTGCCTTTGTGTCTTTTTATTGGTTGCTTGGCGGAGCGCTGGCTTAACTTTTTTTTTTTTTTTTTTTGCCCACTCAAACCACTGAACCGTGCCAGCAAACACACACAAAGCTTGAGCTAATGCTAGGTGTTGAACGACAAACCCCCACTGAGGCCTGGCGTCTAAGAAGAATCAGGAAGAGCCCCCGATGTCCGCGGGAAGTTTACATGACAGACTCGACCACCACCCCTTCCTCAGGAAACGCATCAAGTCAAATGACCTGAACAAGTTGTGGTCTGAACTTAGAGGGACATAAGCATCTTCCTGGAGGATGCCAGTGGGTGCTTTGATGCCTTGTGCAGAGTTTAGTTGGCGGTTAATGGGTGTCTGGCTATCGGAAGCAAAATAAACAAACTGATATCTCTCGTCACGTTTAGACCCCACCGAACTAAACCTAGCCACTGCAGATCCATTGTTGAACACATAGGAAGTGGTTTTGTGACTCAGCATTGATTTCCAACCTCGGGGTCGATCCCTGATAATTACCGAGCAACCCCTTTCACATGTCGTGTGGTCCATTGTTCATGCAAGATTATGGATTATAGAGGCTTTAAATGACGGTTGTCTGACATAGTGTCTGACCTGAATTGAGTGCAGTCTCCCTGAGGGACACCACTAACTAGACCAAAATGCCAGAGTCTTAACTGAATTTGCAAATGCTTGAATATCTTCAAAATGTGATCTTTTGTTTGTAAGCCCCCACCAGAAAGAACACCAGAAGTGGCTCCTGGCATTTCACCCCATCCTGCTTTTATGAGATCAGCTCTTGATATTCTCTCACCGCTGTTTCGCCTCTCTGGATAAAGAATGGCACACTGTAATGTGAAAAGGAACAAATGTTTATTTTTGACCTTCTCATAGACTTATATCAGACGACAGTGATGTAAGCGCACATATCCTGTTTTCCATAAAAATGTCCACAGAGACGGAACAAATACCACCATGGTCATAAAGTTCAAATGGAAACATTAAATTGAGCACTACATATTTATCGGATACTATGAAAACATACAGTTCAATTAACTGCCAAGGAAACAGAATTAAAGAATAGATGTGTCGTCATACTTTTGAAGTGTACCAGGTATTGAAACTACGCAACATTATACAACCAAATCTTTATATTTACACCGACGAGCGCCTTTTTTGCCACTGTTAAACAGTATTACATACAGAACAATATTGAATTATAGGATGTATTATTGACGATATCCCTTTGAGAGGTTTTGTTGCAAGGGCCTTGACGTTTTTCCCTTTTTTTTTTTTTTTTTTTTTTTTTTTTTAAATAGCAAGCCAATGAGTGAAGAGTGATGTACACCCTGCTGACATCATCAATGTGCAACATGTCTGCAGGAAAGTGGTGCTGCATGTAGATTTGATGTTCACAAGACCTCAGTGTAAACATGACATGTAAATATGAGTATTTTGATAATGGGAAGAGACGAAAAAGCAAATTAATTAAGTATTGGCACACCAGCACAAATATGTCCCACTAAACAGCCATATGCTTGTTGTAGAGGAAAGTGAGAAAATCACACTCTAATGTGCATTTCATCCCTTTGCTCCAATAATAACTTGCGGCTACAACTGTAACACAACTCGCATATAATGTATCGCATGAAACCCTAATGGCTGCCAAAAAAGGGTGAATTCAACACAAAAGTCAAACGGAACACAGCACATTCCCAATATTAATGCATGTTAATTGCACCAAAATAAATTGTATGCTACAAAAGCATGAATAAAGTATGAGCAATGTACAAAAAACAAGGTTTACATTTAAGGGAATCCTGCATTTAATATTAGCATAATTCTATATCCTCTCTTATTACGTTTTAAAAAATAATACAGCATTTATTTACTATGTAAAATTTATGTAAAGACATCTGAACAAACAGCAATGGCTACTTTGGTTCCTTTTCAATGAACGTGGGAAAGATGAGGGGAGGTATGCGATGAATTTACAAAATATACATCTTTAATTCTGCTCTTTCCAGCAACCATGATTGATTAATGTGTGTACTTGCAGGGATTTTCAAAGTGCTATATCTGATAAGGTGGTGTAAAGAAGAAAATTAGAAATTGATTTGTGGCTTGTTTCCCAGTTGCCATGGTACAAATGCACCCATCGTGGCCAAAAGTGCCTTAGAGTATGAATGTGTGGCTCACATCTGTCCTTTTGTCCTAGTTTCTTCTGGATTGACTCCAGCTTACTGTCATCCATCTCGAAAAAAGGGTTTCACTCGGAGTCAAAGATGACATGAACCAGCGCCATATCTGCTATAAAAATCAAAGTAAACAACGGAAAATCACAGCTCAATGAGAAAACACACCAGACATCTATTCTTCTTTTTTTGCATATAAAAGCTGCACTAGGTCATTTTGCACAAATGGTAGCAAGTATTAATATCAGACACGTTTGAGTCCAGTGTTTTTTAGGGCCGAGCTGCTGTTTAGGAGACTTCACTCCTTATGCAAATGTGACGAGAATTTAATTTAGGTAAAAACAGCAGACTTGTATCAATTAAAAAGGATGGGACACTCTGTTGTTTTTGTATCCAAATAATTTCACAAAACTTGCCCAGTGCAGCTTTAACATAATCAAGACCAGTTCATGCTGATTTATTCCCATCTGTCTGTAGTTGTCAGTTGTCGGGCTCCAGCTCCTCTAGATGGTCAGGGATGGGTAGACCAGTGAGAATCGTCAGACACTTGTTCCACACGTTGAACACGGGACACACGGGCTGGACGAAGGAGACGTGGAATGTGTGCAGGTGCTGGGAGCCCACGGCGTCGTAGAAGGTCACGTAACCGGCGTCGTAGTCGAGCAAGACCCCGACGCGTCGCAGGTGGGGCGAGGGCTCAATGGCCAGCTCTTTGCTGTTGTGGCGAACCACCCAGGAGTTGTTGCAGCGGCAGAGCACCCAGGAGGCAGAGTTCTTGCCGATCCACTCGTGCTTGGGGGCTGATTTGTAGGCTATACCCACAGCGTACCTGAGGAGGAGCGGAGACTTCGGTCAACCTCGAAGCTTTACCTCAAACAGACTCCCGACTAGACATTTGTGGGTCAGTAAAACTTACCATGTGCTCCCTCCAATTAACGCCTCCCAGTAGTGACGACCGCTGTCGATGTAGACATTCCCCACCACGCCGTAGCTGCTCTGGCTGGTGAAACGCTCCTGGCTGTGGCCTTTCTTGGACGTGGTCTCGTCCCGCTCCACCGTCAGGTTATCGTGGGACACCTTCAGCTTCTTGTGGGCAGATTTGGGGTCCAGCTTGAACGGCTGGCCTGGTAGAAGAGAAGGATTTTCAAATGTATTGAGATCTATGACGTGCACAATCTTTACAGAACTGCTCATTTCCATTAATTTACTTTCACAATTGCCGAATAATTAAACCAACAAGCTACTTTTGTGAGTGTTTTTAAAGATATATTTTCAACAAAGGTCGATCCGATATGGAGTGTTCGTTTTCAGTAGTTTTGTGCTTACTGTTGGTCTTCAGAGTCCCCGGTTCACTGCTCCTGCTTCCCGCTTGGTTAATGGCCTTGACAACAAAGATATACTTTGTGCCGCTCTGCAGACCATGCACTGTGTAGTGGTTCTGCTTGATGTTGGGAACAATCATCCAGCTCTCCAATGAGTTACACAGACCTGAGAGAGAGAGGGTAAGGGGCGCAAGATAAGGAGAAAGAGGGAGGGTTGATACAGTATTAATTCAATGGGACATATTCAAGTTTTTGCTTGTTAAAGGTTCCTAAAAAATGTATTTATAATAATCTTTATATAAAGGATAACCGTCTGAGAATAAATCTGTAACTGCAGACATTTTCAGCAAAAAACACCCAAATAGGAGAAAAAGGGTTTATTTCAAGGTTTCCTGGAGAGGAGTGAAGTCCAGTACAGCCGTGTGACAGGATAGTGTAAGAAATGATTGGCTGTGTGTTAGCCTGCGGCAGTGGGAACAGGTGAGTGTGAAAAGGCACTAGAGGAAACCATTCACACCTCGACGGCTTCATAGCTGCACTATGCTCTATCTGCTTGGTGTGCGTGTTTATTCAATGGCACTACCTCCTGAGGCGTGTATGTGTGTTCCCTTCCATGTCATGGCATAGTTTGCCTGAGGAAGTTACACAGGAAGGTACCACTACCACTGTAGCTGCTCTTTGTTGGCCACCCAGAAGTGAAAATAATATTCCATACCGATCGTCGTCAGGTCTCCTTTGAATGATACAGTGTCGCATAAAGATCTGGCCACCACACTGGCTTCTCATTTACCTCTGTGGAGAAATAGGAACGTGTCCATTTCTGTGTCCACTTTCTAGTGACAGTGTTGTCATGTACAGCCTGTATGTAAGCATGTGAGATCTGTAATAACATATTCACCATTGGGCCTTCTACTCGGGACCGCACAACCGCCGTTGGACAAATAGGAAGAGTGCCAGTGCGTTTTATTGATAAATTGGAATTGATGACATCTCTGCAATTTCACACTATGCAAAGTCAGCGTTTTAAGTGTGAAAAGTGGGGATTAATGAACATCTTCTAAATGTGCATTTATTTTTATATTATCTATACATGTGATTAAGACAAATTAGGAAATTATGATAAGAGGATCGCACTGAGGAATTGCTACTATTCCTGTATACAGTAAGTCCATTAAAATCCAACACATGAAAGCAGACTGTCTTTCTCCCTTTCCTATCATCTTAGCACACATTTCCCACAGGCAATCTAATTCCACTGAACATGCGTGCATAGGTTACACGTGTTTTTTTTGGTGTCTTTTATTAAATCAACATTGGTAGACTTTCACTTCTTGATTTATCCGAATTGCTCCGGGGGTTATTTTCCAACAGCAACAACCTCTGACATTATCGGATGTGAAAACAGGAGGTGAGAAAAATCACAGCGTCTCGGTGAACGGGAGGAGACGGGGATGTGAAAGAGAGAGGGAAATAAATGTCACATTAGCTTGATGGCCGTCGGTTCCAAACATGCTTTGAACGGTAAAGTAATTTGAAAGGTGTAACCTTGGGAAGAAAGATGGAGAAGAAGGAATCTTTCAGCATATGGACTCCGTCATTGCCACTTTAACATCTCGCATGTACAGACATAAGAACTCCGTACATCCACTGAAGTCTCCTCTTTTACTGAGGGCTCTACACCCAAAGTGAATTATCTGCTGCACTATTGTCAAATCTTGTTTGCCTTTCATCCGTCACAAGCTACAGTCACTTGATGTGCGACAACATCTGAAGGTGATAGCAGCATAAAGGCCAGAGGCTTCACTTCAGGAGGTTCCACTTCCACCGCTATCTCGGCTTTTAGAAAAGCACTATAGCTCCCAGCTGCCTTAGGGGAGCCAGTGGCCACCAGTAGAGCAGCATGATTGTACTTGAGCAGGTCTTTTTATTCCGTTAGCAAGTTCTCAAGATGCTTCTTCAAAACATCTTTAATTAGTTTGTCCCTGTTGCCATAATGCATCTTAATTTGTAAGGACAGCTTCTTTCTGGAGCCAGCTTGGTACCTCAGCACACAGTATTTTATATCCATTCATTTAACCTTGATTCAATCCTCACCATCGAGTACTTTGTGCTTCTTTTAATGTAGCTTCGATTGTGTATTTCAATGTGTCCTGTCTGGATGTAATATGTTTTAATGTACCCTTTCAATAGCAGATTTTACACATGCAAACCAAAGACAAATTTCTGCCTCTTGCGTGCAAAAAGTAGACACAGAATTGCCATTTTACTGTCACTTCATGTTCCCCATTTTCCATCTGGGTGGGGTTGTTATATTCCGTCCGTAGCGACTTGACATATCCATCCAGGCTGCATCAGTTTCAGTTAGCAGGAAAGCTGCAGTAGTGCTTTCTGGGGGCAGTTAATATGTTCTGCGTTGATGGAAGAAATATGCTGATTTCAGAGTTATTTCTCGTCAGTCTCATGCACGCTAGAGGCCATTTTCAGTTATTTGTTCTGTTTGACACAGGGAGACAAAATCACTGTTCCCAATTTTGCCCACAAAACACGGATTGGCACGGTTGTTTTCCGACAAAGAAATGTAAAGAGATGTGGACTAGACTCTCACCAGGCTGCTAAAAACACTAAATACAAAAAAAGATACTACTTCCAAAAACCTGAAACTACAATAATTCCCCGTCTGATTTCAAGCATTCCTTTTCAGCCACTCATACTTACTGGCAATGTTAGACTGCCCAGTGAAGATGGCGTACTGGAGCTCATAGGACACCACTGTGAACTCGTCATCAGACGTCCAGTGGACCGAGATGGTGTCGTATGAAGCTGTGCACAACTCTTCCCTTATGCACGGAGCGCTCGGAGCTGCAGAGGGCATAAAAAAGGAAAAGTCATCCAACACGATCTAATGCTGATAATACCAACTGAATATAATTGCAAATTACGCTATTCCAAAAGTGATAACACACTTGTCATTTGTTTTAGCAAACAGTAGCCCCAATTAACCCCGTACTAGTTCATTTGGCTCCATTTAGGAGTGTAAAGGGTTCATTACACACAGGACTGAAGATGTTCTTTCCACTAGAGTGGTAGGTTGAGCATTAAAAGCAATGCGGAAGAGAAATAATGAAATATTCACATGAAAAGCAGCTCACATTAACACAGCGGGGAGGGTAAATAACACAATCCTTTTAGCAGTAACTAATGCGAGTCGTTATATAACCAGATACGCTAGATTGGCTTTTACACTCATGTATCCATGTGCTCTTTATGATATAGTTCTCCTTTTTATTTGTATTCACACAGCATTTGGTAGGAAGAGAATGGACTGAGGTAAGATACAAAGACGCAGCTTAAACTGATTGTACAGCCACTTCTCGTCTCTTTCTGTGTCTGTCACTCTCTCCCTCTCCCAAGCGTTCTGCCATGAGTGGCTGAACATAGTGGAGTGATTCAGACTGATTCACTTAGTGAAAAGGCCCTCCAGCGAATCCCTCATGCATCGCAGAGAATAAATATGAGCCAGCCATTTTCACAGACCTTCAAATCCACTACCCATGATGCCTTGTTTTTGTCCCCGGCGTGCTCATAACTCACACGGTGACATTATGACGGGCCCTTCCAAATGGGACATCAGAAATTAATGTTGAAAATTAATTTTGGAATTAATGTACTGGGGACCGCTCCTTCAAACGCAGTGCTTGAAAACAGCAGAGGCTTCAAAAGAATAACAAGTAGAACTCGAAGCAAGAATAGAGTTGTAATTCAAGGCAATGTTTGGTTTTATGTTCAGTGAGGAACTGAATTAAAAAGACAGTCTGTCGTTATAACAAAAAGCGACACCTGGTTTGTGATTTAACCTCAAAGACAATGGGCTTGAATCAATAGATGTCCCTCTGGAGGGAAGACGAGAAGGTTTACCTGTCAGGTAATCCAGATTCTCCAGTAGCTTCTTCTCTCTGGTGAAGTCCAGGGCAACCGTGTCAAAGGTGTCCGTTAGGTGTATCTCAGGAATCAGCACTTGGGTTGATGCAGTCGCCATGGAAACCCTAGATCAATACCAATCAAAATAGAACAGGCTTTCATACTTTATTGTGTGTTGTGTTGATATTAGAACCGAGGAGCTTTATCATAGTTTATAAGCTACTCCAAGATGCTGAAACAAGGAATTTTGGCATACTAGGCTGATGGATTAAGATACGTTATATAAAATGAACTAACTGCTCAAGAGTTGCTAAATTTATAGATACTCAATCTGAATTAAATCAGACCCCTAAATAGTGACTGCAAATGAGATTCCGATTGAAACACTCCAGAGCATGCACATATTGGACACCGGGTTTTGCTCTAAATTGCCAAATTAGAAAGCTGGAGTAGGGAGTGGAATGCAATTTGGCTAAATGAAGGATAGATTCCCTCTCTACTCGTCTGCTGTTAGGGAAATCAAGTACACGAAGTTCTCTATCTGTGTGTGCAATCTTTGCCCACTTCCTAACGCTAGACATTGGCTGACTGAGCTGAGTAATTCCAACATGTGAGGCCAGTGTGTGGGCTATCTGACCTCTCGTTGATGCTCTTGGCGGTCTGCAGGAAGCGAGCGTGATCGGTTTCCTTAAGTGTCTGATCGGCCTGCGTGATGAGGGCGGAGGACCTCTCGATGCACTGTTTGCAGTTGGTGATCTGTTGGGCGAGCTTCCGAATCCTTTGTGCCTGGTAAGGATGGCAAAGGGAAGTATGAGAACAGTGCTGTTGGGCTGGATCAAATTACTAAACCTAGAATGCATGAAAATACCTTCAGCTGGGTTAAGATGTTGCAGATTATTAGGGATTATTAGGGATTAGAATAATCAGATTAGGGATAATCAGAATAATCAGATTAGGGATAATCAGACTTGACAGGAAATTACCCCAAAACGTGTTTTTTTTTTTTTTTGGTACGGAGATGAATTTTAACGTTTCAAAGTTAGTCGTACGCGAAAAGGTCAAATCCAGGGCCGACTGATGCACATAGTCTTGTATTTCTTCATGTTTTCTTAATTGGTATGAACATCCAGCACTGTGAATTACAGCAAAGGGTAAGAACGTGTCCATCCTGCTTAGAGTTCAGGGACTGGAAGCTGATTTGTTTTGGCCTCCTTCCTTGTTTCATGTTCTATGAGGTTCTGTTTAGACGCCATGGATGTCTTCTCACTCTGAAGATAAATGAACCAGACACTTCAAAGTTAACTCTCTATGTTGTAGAGAAACTATAAGTGTCCTTCTGCAACTAAACATCCTACGAAAGCTAATTATTTTGAAAAAGAAACTGAGTGAGTTAAGCTTTTCCATGTTGCTGCCAATACTACATTCTTTAGGCCTTTCAATGATTTTACTGCACGCAAATCTGGGATTTGATATCCCCTCGTTTGCCCCCCGGTTTTATCCCCTCTCCCTACAGTATGAGCAGAGATGTTAGCAGACAGATTGAGGTCAGTGGCTGGATTGAGGTTAAAGGACATTTCATCATCAGCTTGGCTTGTACAGATCAAACAAAAAAAAATCTAATCTCAGTCCAATTCCATTTCAAGTTACAAAGTCCTCATAGTGTTCAAAAATAAGGAGAACAAACCGAAACTTTCTCAGAAAAGCCTGAAAAATAAACATCTCTGTCTTTTCTGTGTCCTCGCTGACACAATCCTCAAAGCTAAAAGCACACGTTACACGGTGTAAAAAAAGAAATCCCTGGTGGGATCCTAGTCTCATTAGAGACAGCTTTTTAAAAAAAAATCATCTGGGTTTAGAGTACAAGTACATGCACCCTCCCATATGCTCTGGGATCTACTTTTGGCCAGTCTGAGTGTTTTTCCCCGTCTGCTCAGAATGTGTTGAAAGGTTTGCATTTGAGGCAGCTGAACAATTTGGCATCTGCTCACAATATAAGGTCAAGTGGCTGTAACGAAGTATTGCATTGGACACAAATATAGCTTGGAGTGTTTTCAATGTTTTAAATATTGATGGATAAAGGTAATGACATTAGCAGTCTGTTGGAATCCAAACCGTTTGACTCATTACATTGTATATGAGCAGGAATAAAGGAGTTAATTAGTTTTTGTCATGCATATGATTGTTGAATATTATATTTGCAGACAGTATTTGCCCCTTGATGATCATTGTACCTGCTGTAATGTTGATGGACAAACAAATATTTACATTGTGCTGTTTGAAATGGGCTACGCATTTTAGTTTATTCACTGTTTGCCAGTGAGAGGCTATGAGGTGAAGCATCGGAACACAAAATGGCAAAAGAAAATAACTGGATTCTACTGTCGCACTCCTCGACCCTGCTGAGCGTTCGCCTCACCTTCCCCTCCTTGATCTTGTTGCCGATGATCTGCCTCCTCTGCTGAATAATGTCAATCAGGACATCGCACTCCTCCAGGAGCTTGCCCTCTTGGCGGGACGCGTTCACCTGAGAACCAATTCACAGAGAGCCATCCATAAATGAAGAGATTGAGAGATTGTGGGTATATATCGAGAGTCAGAAGTTTAGTGGCTCCGCATCATGTCGGCCGAGGGACAGGATGTCATTTTCATCCATCAGCCGGCCCTCCCGGCTGAAGCCAACACTTTGGGAAGATGAGGCATATTCAGCCATTTTGCCTCCCGCTCGCTTTGAGTGCTGAGTGACAAGTGAAATATGCAGCAAGCTCTGTGGCTGTTAGAGAGCAGACATGACACTCAGCAGTATGCTGAAGAACCAGAATGTCTTGAATCAGGACTGTGTGAAATGTAGTGCCCTGGAAAAATGTTTCACTGTAGAATTCAATGTGTTGCTTTTCATAGAAATGAAAACGCCGGTTGTGAGACTCTACTGATGTCAGTGTTGATGCAACAAGACAAGGATTGATGGTATGTGTTGGAAATTTCAATTCACTGAGTGAGAGTAAACTACCGAGTGTCTATTCTATAGGGAATAGTGAATGAGGAACAAGGGAATGATTTTGGAAACGGCCAATGAGTAACCCTCTTTTCCATGGTAGTCCTTTTGAAGTAAGGAAGTATTACTGTTTGAAAAATTATGGAAATAAGACATATTTCATTTTACATAATCCCCGTATTAAGAAAGAAATCCAGGTTGCTTTTTGCTCAAATTTGAGGGTTTTGTATCGCACTGTAGAAGGTATAAAACTAGTTGACCTACATATAGATAAAGGCCAGTGCTCCCCTAACTTCATATGAGGCATATTGATTTGTGTGGCAGTGGGTTCAAACATCTGCTGGGCTCAGAACCAAACACTGATGTTCAACTGAAGAAAAATAATTGGATTTAGTTGGAAGGTGTTTGGGAAAGTGCAGTTGACTCTGAGCGTCTTTTTAGAAGCAAAAGGGCAGCCAGCTGAGGTGTTTGATTCACTTGGAACCTTTACAGTCTATAAAATCTGTTCAACTCCAATTATGAGACTGCGGGGCCGAACATTACGTGTGCTTCTCTTTGTGGCCATTTCCTCGTGCTCCTTTCAGCACCTTGTGAAGTGTTGTGTTGCCGCTGCGAAGCGATAGCACAGGGAGCAATGAAAGGGAACTCTGCTGTGAGTGTTGCCAAGCTAGCCAGTTAGCGCACATTTATTCAAACAAACACATACACTCTCTGTTAAACACAGGTGTTTTAATAATGACATCATGGGCAGTTTCCTCCGTAGAGCCAAACAAGGCTGGAAAGTACTTCCTCAATATCCTCAACGTGGCCTCCTAAACAGCCTCCATGGGCTTTTCTGGACCCCGTGTTGCAGACAGAAATCATTTTATTTTAACACCTGGATTACAAACCTACAGCTTGCGAGACGTGCTAAGATGAACACCTTCGAGCAACGCCGGTGTGTCTGTCTTTTCAACACTACTAATTGGTCCCTTCGACATCACCGCGACAGCTCTGGGGGAACTTGAGATGTAAAACTGCTTACTCTGTGAAAAGCTTGTATATGTGTTATCTCTTTGTGTCACTTTGTGCACCAATTAGTATACTTTAACGGATCTAAATATAATGGGGATTTGGGGGTAGAATATTCACTGAAATTAGAGCAAAGACAAACATTGAAGTTCAACTTTTATTTTTTTGTAAGTCAGCTCTTTTTGGTATTTTGCTGTGTTTTTAAAGCACCATCAGGTTATGAGTCGTTTCCACAAGCTGCTAAACAACAACAAAGTAGAACTGGCTGACATTTCACGACCATTAATCTCAAGAGGTCAATGTGAACGAAGACGACGTCCTCCGATATTGCTCATCTGAGTGGAACGACCGCTCACACACGCACACACTGTGGTCGGTCTGCCTCCGAATTTCAGCTTTCCAGTAAGAAAACATACACACGCACAGTTTGTGACCAGAGTACATGATGCACCATGTAAAGATGTGGAGCATCTAATGACTGTGGGCAGAGCCCTCTGGAGCGTATGAGCAGTATGACAGATTGCACCCTGACAGGGACATTAAGTGATTCATTAGCCACAGAAACACACGCACATACAAAGACGACTCGGACCTCGAGGATATCCAAACTTTCGGAAAGGCAACTTTCTGTGGAGGGAGGTGACTTTAAACTTCACAAGACATCAGAGGAATGTATTCTTCTGTGGCTTCTGCTACAGAATAAGCATTAGTGTTTTTCCCTCACTCTGAGTTTTTTTCTTTATTGCATTTCTATAAACAAATCAATTAAGTGCTTCAAATGGTCCCTCTTTGACTGTTTGATATTATATGATTAACTTCATTTAAACATTGTAACTCTGTTTTCAACATGCAAAAGGCGTTATATTCCAACAATTACAGCATCTTCATTATATTAGTTGATGTGCTGCTAGCTGAAAAAGAATGCTGGTATTTGAAGTAATGCGGTGCAGGAGCTTTGAATTGTGGCTAAGGTTAAACCACAGCTCAGAAGAACTGGATGCTTTTTAGGAGACCATCTATGCCTCTAAGTATGCATGAACACTGTGCAGTCTTAAGCCATCATCTAGTCTCGGAGATGTCAGAGAATCTCAGCAGCTATCTCCTGAGAAGCTGTTTCATAGATTCATCTGATTTGAAATATTCAGAAAGCTGCCTGTGCAACGCTTTTACTGTGACCCTCCTTTTTATTTTTTATAAGCCCTCTTATACACCACTACTGCAGCTGCATGTCAAACAGCTCCATATATTGAGTTTATATTACTTCATGCATTTATTTTTGGCTCACCATCACCAGCTTAACATGTATTTCTTCCATCTACTTGTGCGATATGGCTGTTCTCACCTAAAAACAACGTGCTATCACTGCTCACTCCACAAGCTATTTTAGGCATTCAGAGTGAGTTGCAAAACCCTCCCGCACGAGTAGTTGTGACCCCTTCATATATCCATCATTTATTCATTTTTCTGTGCTTTTTTGATGGTCGGAAGGATCGATATTATTTAAAATTCCAACATCATCAAAATTCTTCAAGCTTAACTCACAGAAAAAACATCTCTTTGTGATGGTGACACAAAAACATACTCAAAATATATGCACACAGCACTATAGCAAATAAAAAAAAACAAATCTCCTTAATAAATCACAATCCTCTTTCCTAGCAGTTTGTGAAGGCCCTTGCCAGGCAGAGAGGCTGTCCTCCATTATTTCCAAGCAAAGATGTCTCTGCCTTTTAACCCTGTGGCATTGCGTTATTTAAAGCTTCTTAGTGGGCCAGCGTAACATGAACAGGCAGGCTTAGCATTGCCCTCAGTAAATACACACAACCATGCACACACTTTATTATCCTAATAGTAAACGTATTAGACAAAACCAGATGTTGGACACAAATAAAGGTGAGTGTACAAAAAGAATACAAGATCACAGAGCCTAGATGATTTTGTATGTCCAGCCAACACTCCAAAACCCAGAGATATTCCAATTTTTGCATTTTACGCTTGATTCATGGCTAAAACTAATATATCAGAAATGTCACCAGTTCCTTTTCTGCCGATTGACTAATTGTCAATCCTTTCAGCTCTCAAACACATTGTATAATAATTTCAAACAGCTACTATAGGGTTTTAGTTTAGCTGCTAACTGTAGCTACATGCTATCTCTGCACAATAGAAAATTCATTTTTTTTTCTTGCATAAATGAAAATAAAAAACTAGATTTAGTGTAAAATAACTGCAATAATATGCTCACAATAGACATAGCCAAACATATCCACAGAAATAATATGATAAATGTTATATTGACTAGACGGAGACATTATGTAGGTCAGCGGTGACCACTGAGACTCACCTCTACATGTTGACAAGTCTGGATCAGTTTCCCCATCAGAGACTCCAGCTCGTTGTTCCTCTTGATCAGATTGGTCAGGTTGGAGTCCAGGGCTTGCTGTAGCAGACACATTTAAAAAAACAACACTGAGAGTGAGACACGAACAAGAAACGGATGGGACATAAATGCAAAGAAGCCGAGGAGGGCAGAGCCGTAAATCAAAGGATACAAATGCAACTGCTTTATCATCCTCAGGTTTCTCTGCTTACACCAGCCAAAAAAAAGTTGTGAAACGACCTCGGGCACTACATCACAAAACAAAAAGTTCTAGAGCAACTACATGCTTGGAAACACAAATGTTTGATTCCTCAGCACAAGAGCAGCAAATGGAAGCGATGTTTCCCCCTCAGCTGTTCTTCCTCAAGGGCATCCCCACAAGTTGCAGGCTTTCCTTCTTCTATTGAAGAGGTGCATTCAGTGTCCATCGTACCTCTGAGCGCGGGTGATACCCCTCATCCCTGTGCTGCCTCCTCATCCTGCCCCGTCCGAGCTGCCGAGAGAGGAGCCTACTCTAGGAGAGGATGTGACTGGGACAGCCGCTCTACTGAGCGCCAAGCCAAGCGCAAACCCAGCCGAGCGGCAAATTGGGCATCAAAAGCCTTCCCTATGAGAGCACGCAGCAGCGCTCTCGGCTAACGAACCGGCAAACAGGTGACAGCGCGTCAGCTCTGGCCCTTAACGCTCCGCCCTCGCTTTTCTCTTCCCTCCCCCTTTTTTTTTCTTTTTTTTCCCCTCTTTTGCTGATTTTTATCCGCCCGGGCACAAGCTGTCTCCTTTACTTCAAGACCATCATATTATTGCCAAACAGAGCGCGCTTAATCCGCTCTGATGCCGCCTCGAAACTGTCCTGTTCAAAACTGTTTTCCTGAAGATTTTCAGCTGTGACTTGGCGAACGCTGAGATTTGCGTGTCTCAAAAAAAGGCGTTGGATCAACAAGGCCAAAGATAGCTTTGCTGAAAGCGCAGGTTTCTTGAATTCAACATTTTTAAATCCTTTGCTTCGGTTAAAACTACACATTTATTGACTTTAAAATCAAAAACTAGCTCAATACGCTCCATTCCAATTCACTTTAACCACTTTTAAGCTGCAGTGTAAACACAGCCAGGTTCTGATGTTATGTCGAGGATTAAGGAGGAGTTACCCCAGAGGGAATATTGAATAAAGTGTGTGTGTGTGTGTGTGTGTGTGTGTGTGTGTGTGTGTGTGTGTGCGTGTGTGCGTGTGTGCGTGTGCGCGCGCGTGTGTGTGCGCGCGTGTGTGTGCGCGCGCTGGAGTGGCACTATGGGGGCTTAATGGGTGGCCTTAATACGCAGATGACACACAAAAGAGAAAACGGCATAAAGGTCTCCTCGGAGAGAACGGCGCTGTCGTCGCCATTATCATCCATAGAGATAAAAATAAACTAAAGCTCTTGCATGATGAAGATGATGATGATGACAAGAATCACAACAATCAGTCAAACAGCTGCGTCACGCGCAAGTCGCTGTGTGCATGGAACTCATGCATGCATACTTCAATGCAAAGAGGAAAACAAATTTGTAATTATGTCTACATACCAGCTATCATAAGCACATGTTCAAAAGCAGACTTTACGTCTCCATATGCACACATGCAATCTTCAGGACAGGAAATGCACTGTGACATGTACACAAGAGGACAAGGCTTTTAAAAAAATTAAACCTGCTGTCAGTCTCCATGCGTGTGTGTGTGTGTGTGTGTGTGTGTGGGGGGGGGGGGGGGTTACTGTTTGTTTAGATGTACATATACAAAGTCAATACACATTCTCTCTTTGTGCATTTGTGGTCAGACTTGGACGTGAAGGGGTTAACCCACATCTACATCGTCCACGTCGCCAACTAGTATTAATCTGTTGGAGCTGAACTGCTCAGCTGCTGGTTGATCGCCTCACAATTATCCTGCTTGTTTATCCGCAGTATATCTCTCCATCTCTGCCTGCCTATCATCCTCCTCTGCTGCCAGTCCGAACTGGATTTGTACCCCAAAAACAGTGTCATTGTAAAGTTAATCTCTGCTCTGAACCAACTAGGCCGTGTTGATTTGATGAGTTAGTAGATATAAGCTACTGGATTTGGAATAACTGAGCTGTATGGATGCAGAATCATTTAAATGGCAAAATTATTTACCAAATCATGCTGTATTGTGTGTATGTAACGACACATTGACTTCTATACAATCGCCCCCTGCTGGCCATTATAATTAATGCACATTCAAGGCACTTCAACATTGGCTTCACTTTTCAGAACCGGAGGTTGCCGCCTGGGTCCCTTTAAAACAAAGGACTAATATGTGTGCATTAAGAGAAGGCCGTGAACATCACTGTGTGGATTAGAGACCTACCACCTTGTCATTCAAGGTAAGGCATGGCAGGGTACTTCACCTATGAGAAATACATGTTTGTGTAAATGTTTCATAAGATATTTTTCATAGGATCCGATACTTAAAAAAACATGAGTGTTTGGTGACCTCAAGTGGTCCTCTCACTTTTCTGCAGTGATGTACACGTGTACTCCGGAGAATGTCAGTACAATGTGACATCCTCTTGGTTGTGGTATCCTTTAAATTAACAAACGCATAAAAATATAGCCTGCAATGTCTGCTTCAAAAAGAAGTCCTAAAGTGGTCAGTCTCGTCCACGCAGTGATGTTCATGGTCACTTGGCAGCTGACAAAACTCTTGTGATTCAACATTTGGAGACGTTTAGTTAAATTGCTTTAAATGTAAGTATACCTTTTTAAAAATAAGAGTTATTTATTGAAGCGTGGTCAGCTGACAGAGGCAGAGCCAGTTCTGTGTTTTTCAAAGGAAAGCTGCTTCCCTCCACAGCATCTGCTCTTAATCACTGCTCTGCTGCAGCACGCTCGGATCAGCCTCTTCTTATATCAGCCAACTAGAATCCACCCTTTGAAACCGAGGCACAAATTTGCATACGTTCCATCACCGGGCGTCTCCCTGTTGGCTTAAAAATACAAAGTTGTGTGGTGTTGTCTGCCATTGTCATTAGTGTTCATGTCTGCATGAGCAGATGCATGCTGGGAGTGAGCTAAATCACCCTGAAGCAGTGCTGATAAGCTAGGAAGGTGTGCAAGGGGATCTCACGCGCACAACCAGTGATGGAGACAGGTAGACAAGTGAACTGAAAACTTCAGAGGAGCTACATCTTTTCAAGATTTACTGCGACACTGAGCAGGATTGTGTTCTCAGGAATCCTCACCAAACTGCCAGAATTTCACTTCATTCTTTTCCTTGTTGCTCGTGTGTGTGAGAGAGATCAGAGAAACGTAGTCGCACAGATGAAGACAGAAACAGTGAGGCAGAGAGAACAAAGGTGGACCGTTAAAGAGCGAGGCAGAGAGGAAAAGCTGACCATAGGATTCTTCATTTCTTTCTTTACTGCCGTTCTTTACGGCGATGTCCAACCATCTTTCCACACTCTGTTATTGCTCAGTCATCATGGTGTAGCAGTGTTCTGTAGTTCACAGAGGGCACCGGTGTGTTTGCTCGACACCCACTTTTCTGCCAGTGAGCGCCTCTATAAATTGGAAACAATATGTTTGTATCAGTCCTGGGGAAACAGAGATGACTCCGGCCGGCGACACCTGACTCGAAAGCAAAGCACGACAGAGAGGGGAAAAAAAAGGCAAGACGGCATTGTGCTGCGGTAAATTGGGAAAGGATTGTTTGTGTGGGTATGTGTCTGAGACGAGAAGGCTCTGAGTAAAAGGAACATTCCGTGCAGAATGAGGACAGTGAGTGCTGCCCTGTAAATTCTCAAATAATGGCTTCAGTTGAAGAGAGAACAGGGCTTTATTTGAGACAATACAACTTGTGATTTCTAACAAGAGAAAACATTGAGGTTTTTTTTGTTCCCCTTATATCCTGCAGAAGTCCTGTTTAAGTAATATAAAACACATTTGGTAAATTTAACTTTATGAGTTTGCAAAGTATTGCCTGGATGTTCCCTAAACAGCACTCAACAAACTTGAGTCACGGGACAATAGTGTGTTGCAAAGGATGCATGTACTCTGCACTGGTTGTGTTAAAATCCATACAGGAGAAGGCTGTATGTTGCAGTAAGCAAGAGCTTTTGAAAGGGGGCAGGCCTTGTCAACCTGTTACGACGTCTAGAAATGCTGACTTGGCAGGATCCAGTCCTTAAATTGCATCCTTAAAGTGGGCTATGATCTATGTGTTTATAATAACAATGAGCCACTTGAATAGCACCTTTACCAGGTGATATGTCAATGCTGTGTTCACAGCTTGTTTCTGCTGCCCCCAAGTGGACATAAATGAGACGGCAAGTTTAAAGGACCTTAGCTATAACAGGGGTTTTGTCATTAGATTATTTAAATTTTATTTTGAAAAGTAAAATCTGACTTTTAACGGCCCCTTGTTTTGCACTCGTGAGTGATTTCAAGGTATACAGCCCCGCCCTAAAGTACACTACATCACTGCAGCAAGGTAAGAAGTTACACCACTGGAGAAGATTTTGCAGCTGCTCTTTAAATTACTTTAGGGAAGTTTTTCAAGGTTGTAATTGAAGGTGAAAAAAGCATTATAGCATGGACTATATTGAGGAAGTAAGTCGGGGGATAAGGGGATTCCTGATATAAAAAGATGGATTAAGGCATAAAAGTAAATATCGTGCTTAAAAGGCTGTGAATCAAATGTTGTGTCTGTTTGCTTTTTATTGTGCATTTTGGCACAAAAACCCAGGGCAGCTGATTAAACCAAATGGATTACTATATAAAACACAACAAACCTATGATTTGTAAGCAAAGCTGAAACACACAGAAGGGCCCATCTTTTATCCTCAAGGTTCTTTCTCCTCAGACCCAGCGCCAAGGACTTTGAAAGCTATTTCAAGTCGCCTTCTCGTCAATTTCCTATGACGGAGTAATTTTATCTCCCCAAAAGGATGGGTGTTCCCTCAATAACCTCCACGGCTCTTATCAGGCGCAACACCACTGCCACTGAAAAAAGGAAACAATTCCAATCATGTGTTTTTTTGTTATGTTTTGCCCGGTGCAGAGTAAGGATATCTCAAAATCCAGCAGATCAGTGCAAAAAGAGATATGCATGAAATGGTCCGGAAAATAGGACCAAAAGACTTTTGACTTGTCAGACTCCAAAATGAAAGAACTGCACCAGATCTGAGTGAAAGAGGGGGAAAAAGGGAGTGCCTTTTATATCTGAAGGTTTTTAACCTGACAAACGGAGGCCTCCGTGCCTGTTCTGTGCCTCCTCTTTAAAGAAGTTCGCCCCAAAGTTTTCTGTCCTCATGAATTAAAAATCAAATGTGTTGTTCAGCATAAATATTGCATGGCGGTTGTTTTTTTCCCCGTGGTAATTAGCTTAGATCGAGGCCTCAATTTATTCCCTACCCTGTTTCTGTCGCGTGTTCAAAACATCAAGCAGTTGCCTCTTAAAAGCTTCAACTCAATGCAGTGTAGCTAGTAAACCATTTGAAGTAACATTATATATTCATTAAAACTGACTTTCTCTGTCTCAGGGTTTAAAAAGATTGCATTAACATTACTTGTTTCATAATCGAAGATATTACCGTTTCTGTCGAGATTTGTTTGCTTGTGTAGTGAGTGTGTTTACTGCCACGCACAAAAAGTAGCCCGAGCGCTAATACAATGAGTTGAGATTAAGTTAACTCGCATGTACAGAACTTAGCTTTCTACTCTGAAACAGAATTCAGCCCGAGGCTGAGCTGTATATTTTACGCCTCACTGTTGATTGAAGATGCAGCAAAACAAGTCAGTTATTCGAAGAAAGAGCCTAGACGCTTCAGCTCAGGGCCGACCGGGTCTTAATCTAAGGCTTGCATCGACCTCCCGTCATGGGCCAGCTGGCTGGCGTGAGGCCTTTGAGGGTCGACAGGTGGTCAAATCCCCTCTAACTTCTGCCAGAAAAGGAACATTTGTCTGTGTGAGAAAGGAGCTGCTGGCCGTGAATATCTGCAGATTGCTGTGAGGGTAGGGGGCAGATTGGGGGTCTCCAGGGTAGACATGCATGCCTGGGTGTGCGTGTGTGAGACACATAGACGGCGTGCTCAGAAGTTAATGAAGCGGGCATACACGTTTTGTTCCCCCATCTGCTCTCTTTGTCCGCACAAGGTACAAATGCTTTATTTATGATTGACTTATTTTGAGGATTATGCTTATGAAGTATTGCTGTGGTTTTTGTATTGAAGCGGATAATTAGCCTGTATAACTGCTGAGCTCGCTGACCTGTGCTGTGCTACGTTCTCTCTCCGGATGATCGGTGGGAGCCTGATAATTAGATGATGCACTGACCCGTAGCTTTTCCTGCTAATTATTCCTCTCTGCTTGAATATGCAGAAACCCGCAGGACGAGAATGGCTACACGTCACCTGTGATGACGGAACATGAAGCCCTTCATCGGAGGCAGAAAGGGTGCCAACCAGTAGAGGGCCCCTAATAACAGATCAATGTGCGGGAGGTTTTCGTTGTCTTTTTCTTGACAAAGAAGGAAAGTGCAGATGCTGAAAATAGATGGTTTTAATCATTGATTTTGGTTATTGTTTGGTGCTTTTATACTGTAAAGAAGGATATTAAAAAAGGGTATTTTACAACTCGAACACTTTTCACTCTGTGAAACTACTAACTTTTATTACAAAGCTGCCGTTCTATGGTTGCGCTGTAATGTTTCAGTAATCGCTGCCTTTTTCTTCTGTGGGTACCACGACTTGGAATCGGCTGTTGCGATTCAGTTTCTTCAATTATATCACCGAAGGAATGGCTCCTCTCTGAGGACGTATTACAAACTACCTCACACTTGAACATGTGTTTCAAACTTCTGGTGAAAGGAAAAACCTGTTTCTCAAAGGAGTCACGCCACAGCGTTTCATTTAAAGAGGCTTCGAGAGGCTGAATAAACACTTTCCGAGAGCAGGAGGCTCCTGCTGAAAAATGCTCCCTGGGCAAATGATGCTTTGGAAAAGTTAGTTGTATTTTCTGTTACTTGTTCTTACGTGGAATAATGAGTGGTTGAAAAATGTTTACGGTGGAGGAGTAAGTCAACGCTCTGACTGAACCTGAGGAAAAGTCAAGTTTGACCATTTGGGTACAGTAAAGTGCATCTTCTGTATTGAAGGGGTTACATAAGTGGCACCAAGAGATGCGAGTATAAATATTATCCTGTGCTAGCTTATTTTAAATGGCTCCCTAGTTGATTTTTATTGCTTTTAACATCCTTCAGATTCCTTTTAATGGCCTTTCTGCTTGAAACATGTCTGAAACATTTAGTAGATTATTAAAATGGTTACTAAATAATTTAGCCAAATCACTAGTGGACTAAAATCATTAAAACGTTTTGTGTAACTCTGCCAATGTTATGCATCAGTTTGCTCGTGAGAGCCTGAGAAAACAGTTGGCAAAAGCCCAAAGTCCATACACTTTATGGAGGTTCAATACTAAATGGAAAAGTGCTTAAATATTTAATGGCAGACAGTTGGATTATGAAACGAAAAGCATCCTGTAGACATTCCAAGTAACATTTCCTAATGGATGAGCTCTGATCTGACAAACGCACTGCTCACACACACACACATCCTGCCTCTGAGCCCATTACGAGCACACTCTTAATAGCCTTGCCCAATTAGGCACACCTACACTCGGCATGCAATTGGTGCTCGTTAACCTGCAACCTCATTGAAGACACCATGCCTCGTCACTAATGACACTTCCCATATTCACTGTGTGCACGCCTCTGAATATCCTCCCGGCATGCTGGCATGGAGTAGCGATTATGCTAATTGCTTAATTATTCAGCGGCGATAATAAGTCGGCATGAGATGATAAAATCTCACTTGATAATCGAGTTAGATACCTGGGTAAGGATAATAGGAGATTTCTGCAGAGCGGCATAAAATTAAAGCTTACAATGTTAATGGAATGGAGGTAATCTATGACATTAAAATAAAGGCCGCAGGTTAATTAAAACTCAGTTTTTGGAAAATTCCGCTTTTAAAGGCAAAATCACACCATGAAAGTCTTGTAATTTTACTTCTGCGCTTACCCTGAGTTTCTCATAGCGGTCGCTCAGTGCTGCCACCTGGTGGTCTCTGTGCCTCCCCACCAGTTTGCACAGTGAGCAGATCAGCTGATCATCTGTGACACAGTACATGTTCACCTTCTCCTCCTCGTGCTCCAGGCACTGGAGCCCTCTGAGGTGGGAGTCCGGCATGGGCTCGATGAGCCGGTGGCCGGTGAACGGCTTCTTGTTCGGGTGCGTCGCCCTGAGGCACTCCTCGCAGTATGACACCTCGCACGTCACACACGTTTTGACGGCATCCTGCGGCGGGTCCTGCTCGCAGAACTGGCACTGGACCGGTTCAGGAGGCATGACCGGGCTGGACATGGCGGTGCTGACTGGGACCAGCGCCAGCCGGTCGCTCCCTTCCTCGCCGGGAGAGTTGGGCCCGCTATGGGGCGCAGGCAATGGCAGCGGCAGAGGGACCCCAGCTGAAGATGAGGCCCGCTGAACTCTGTCAATAATGTTCTGTAAGGTCACGTTTCTCTTAAGTCCTTCTAGTCCACGCTCCGGACTCAGGGAAATGACATATCGACAGGTGGGGCACTGGAAGGCGCCGATGCTCTGAACAGGTTCGTTGGTGGCGCAGTGAGAGATGAGGATGCGATGGGCGCAGCCGAAGCACAGGCTGTGAGCGCAGGGGAGCAGTAGTGGATCTTCAAAGAGCTCCAGGCAGATTGGGCAGGTCAGCTCTGACTCCAGTGTGTCCATCCTGCTCACAGGAGGCCAGGCGGGACCAGATGCAGCGTCAGCGAAATCCAGAAGAGCTGCTCAGCTGTCTGCAGGCCAGAGACAGAGAGAGAGATGGTGGATGGCAGAAAAAAGGGAAAGGAAAGCACAGGGATTTGTGATTAAATGGTGTGAAACAGCTTACTTCACATTGCTTTCTTGGGAGGACTTATATCTCAACGGACCAGACCACTGAGTGGACTTAAAGAATGGCTGTGTGGTAACTGCTGGATTTTCTAAGTCTGTGTGAGAGGTGAAAATGAGGGACAATTGATATCTCCAAACGCTAGACAATCGAATACTTTCAAAAGTTCAGCACAGTTTTGGCTCTGATGCATATAATTACGTATAGAACCATAAAAACCAGCTTGGACTCACATAATCCATTGGACCAATCTTAATATAATGAATCATTTACCAATGGTAACAAATCCATTGAAGAAGAGTCAACATCTTATAAACCATGGCCTCAACCCCTTTCTATGGAATACCCAAACATAATATCCAAGCACAAATGCACACTAGCAACGAGGTAACCCAGAGATTTATTACTCTGTTGGTTATCTTGAGTAACAGGGTCATGGTTTCTGGAAAGGCGCACTTTTTTTGGCACTTTGAGCACCAATCACGATAGACATGTAGCAATGCGTGTCCCTCTCTTGCTCCTCCGAATATGGTCACTTCTGGCTCCAAAAAAACAAGATGGCGACGGTCAAAATTCCAAACTCCAGGCTTCAAAAAGGTCATCCACAAACCAATGGGTGACGTCAGTCTATGGTAGGATATCGGTAATTACAAAAAGAACCGGGGGATTATAGTCTTTTTCCAAACATTTGAACTGATATTCAGTTGGCAATGGGGTGTAGTTTTGATATCGGGTGCAGCAGTGGCAGCTGCAGGCACGGCTGTAGTAAATTGTTAATTTGTGCCCATGGCTATTTAGTCTCCCTGCAGAAGAGCTGAGTCATGATTTCCATCTGACCCCGTGTCACCAATGAGTCACCTATGTACTGTAAAGTTGGTGGTTGCTGTTTACTTTGTGTGTGCAGTTGTTTTTTAATTAGAAAATTTGATTAGGCCTCGGAGGAAAACCCACACTTTCACATGGGACTTAGTTCTACTTAAATCAACACCCAGTACTCGGTAGTATCCTATAAAGTAATTTTCAAAGCCATGGCGGGGTTAGAAGATGTAAAGGGAAGCTGTCTGCTGTTTAGTTAAATGTGTATTTAATTAAAAACTGTCTAGAAATATTGCGTTTATGGCGATGAGTACAGCAGTAAGTCGATTATTAAGTGTGGCTGGGATCTTGATTACTTTACTTCCAATCAGTCTTATCAGCACGTCCAAAAGTTCACTTTGAGCCTCTCTTTCAGTTAAAAGTTCCACTCTGCTTGCAAGTTCTGTTTTTCTTTGTTCCCTCGTCATTGACAAACTTAGCCAGAGGGTTGTTAATAACGGCCGTTAGTTTGTGGCAGCGAATGGAGATTTCACAACTGCTGAAAACAATCTTTCAGCACAAAGAGAGAAACTTTTCAAGATCAGATGAAACCTATACAAACCCTTCAGGGAAATAGGATCTCTGTACGCAGAGGAAAATAGATCACTGTGATGTAGATAAGACTAGAAATGGAATGGAATATATTGAAGATAATACAACAGTTTGATTTTTCTTGTGTGAATGTATCAAAGGAAATCCAGTGACCGTGTGTTTTCTCAAGTGGACATGCAAAATATGTGCTTTGAACAATTCTCGACTAGTACTAATTCTTATAGAAAACCCTCTGAATGCATTCTGACACTGAATGAATTGCATGCATTTCTGCGGCAGGAAAGGCATCCACTCTTGCCATACAGTGAGGTATTTTCAGCAGCTGTCACTGCTTACTGAGCTTAAGGCTTGTGTGCGTCTGAGTGGACTACCATCCTCAGAATATCCCTCCTATTCTCTCCCTCGTCATGTTCATGCATTGTTTTCTTTCATCCTCTGTGCTGCAGATAAAGCAAGTCACCTGCGATATCTCAAGCCAGATATCAGTCATTTGCAGTGCAGATGAGCTGCCGGATCACATAATGGATGGAAGGAGAAAAGAGAATTTTTACATTTATGATTATAAAGAAAATAAGCTGATGCGAGCCGAGCAACTTTGATCTCTTATTTCCAAATAAGAAAGGAAAGGCCACATTTTAAAATGAAACGAATATGGAGGGAGAAGAGGACAGAAATGGAGTGGGAGAGATGGAAGTGATTCAGCAATCGCACACTTGAAATGAAATGGTGTGTTTGGAGGGACTGTAAACACAACAAATCCTCGGAGACGCACTCTTGTCCATACACATCGATACACACTCAAATTCCTACAAACACACAGCAGTTTCTCTGAAGCACCAAAGAGCCTCTCTCATGCATTTATTTCCAGATATTTTGTCAGTGACGACTGAAGCTTGTTGGTGGTCCAGTAAAACTTGGAGAGCTGTGCTGAGTTGTAAAGGGAATTCAGTATTTCATGATTTTCTTGGCCGTTTTGGTCAATTTGCCTGTTAGGATATAGACGCTGAAATCTTCCCTGTGACACCTTGGGATGTTCCTAATGTCTACGATTTCAAACTGAAGTTTACACTTAAAGTAGGTAAGAAAACACTTGCACAACAGTCAAAGTTAAGCACAATTTAATCATTTCCGTGTTGCGATAAGGGCCATTTGAAATCTCTAAACACATTTTTCAATAATGAAATTGTGTTTTAAGGCCACTAAAATCAATATGTCAGTGTCTGACTGTGGTCTAAGAACAGTCGAGGTTTGGCATAGTTTATACCATTAGTGTCTGTTGCTGGTGTTGGCCCGCTTCATTGGTTCTTACCACACTAGGTCACTAGTTTTAGTCTGTAGCATACTGCTAGCTGTTTAGCTACCGAACAAGCTTGAGTCAGTGTGCTGCTGGCCAGTCGGGTCGACCTGGAGACTAATTTCCATAAATGCTGCACCACCCACCAGGATGGTTCAAGCAAAAGGAGAGTGTGTCTTGGACTTACATTTGTGCTTCGCGTCTGCTGGTTGTGTGCCATGGGTGGTGTCAATGTTGTTTTTACTGCCCCAAGTGGCCAACAATCTATTAATGCAGCTTTAAGTTTCATGCAGCATCATGCCCAAAAACATGTTGGAGGCCTGCTAATAAAAGAAAAAGCAGTGGTTCATTATGCACCCTGTCGGTGAATCTAAGGACTGTTGAAATTAAGCAATAAGCTTAATGTTGGAACACCTGGATTGAATTACATGTTTAATATGGCCATAATCCTACATAGCTAACTCGTTACAAAATCTTCTTTTTAAAACCCAAATGCATATATTCTCTGCAGATAAATGTCATGCAGTAATGCATGGTGTGTACTGTACATTGAGCATTGTCAAGGGTGATCAGTGCTGTATTAATGAAGAAGATTTGAGAATTCTGCAGTCCATCCTTGTGCACAGATGTCAGCCAGGTAACATAAACAGCAGACAGCGTTTTACAAAAGCAGAGAGAATGCAGAAAAAAGGAAAAAAAAGTTCCTGACAAAGTTTGACATTGATGGAGCTCTGACAGGCTACTGGTGACAGCAGGGGAAACCTGGAGGCACTAAAGGATAAAGAGAATAAACCCACCTCATTCTGACAAAGACAAACACACACAAACCCAAATTTGACATACATAGGCGCACAAATCCAAACTGGTGTGTGAGACGGGGTGAGATGCCTCTCAGCACACCGTAGGTGACACTGTTGAACCGTGCGTTGGGGTAACAGCACAAAAGGGAGGGTGAGAGTTCCAGAGGCACAGGAGGGAAGAGGAGCATTGAAATCTAAAGTCTGGGAGGAAAAAGGTGGAACAGGAATGTGAGAACGGCATTCAGGCTGGAGGAGGAAAATCCAGGCGAAGTTGTTTATTTGTGGGGAAAAATATGCCACTGGCTGTCAAAGCTGTCGCTGTGTGTGAAAGGCTCGTCCTCGTGTGCCAACACCACTAAAAACGTCAGTACCGATACTCTTCAGTGGGGGGCGGGCTATACAAAGCTGAGTGAGCAGTGGAAGAGTCCTCCACTGTCTTATTCCTTCTCTTTTCCCTATCGATACATGTTTCTTACCCAACCGAAAAACAGACTTCATGTACTATACATACTATTTATATACTTCAGTATGGCATATGTCTTCATTAAAGTGGTTAAAATGATGTAAGAGAATGTACATATATTTAGTTCCTTCTGTCTTTCTCTTAGTCAGCACTTTTTTCTTTCCACAACGTAATAGTGCAGCTTTAGCTTCAGTCTTTTAGCACCATATCATGTATCAAGTGCATATAAGATGCCTTTTACACACTTCAAAAAGAGTCCGCTGGAGACAAACTATAGCCTGTTTTGATCGAGTTGACTTTGTACCAGCACAAAGTGTAACCTGTAAGCCTGCAAGGAAATCTAAAAAAAAAGTCAAATACACAAGGAGTCTAGTCCAATTGGAAACTATACAAGTACAGTGTCATTCCTTAAACCACCAGAAGCATTGCTTTTTAAGCCTGTCATCCACTTTGAACAGGACTTTAACTTGTCAGTAAAACTCTGCTACTGCTCTGTGAACCTCTGACCATGAGCTGTTATCCCTGTTTCCTTCCTTCCCCGATACAGATGGCACAATAACATCTGACCGATATGAAATGCTTAGCTGTGCGTTAGAGGATCTGTGGAGAGCTTCTCCTCCTCTCAGAAAGAGTTGGATTCCTGTATCATCTTCTATTCCTGGCAGTTTTCATGTCTCTGCCTCTCTCCCGTTACACGGCCGTGTAACCTGAAGTCCAAAATGCTACATTTCTATTTCGAGAGGTACAAATGTCATTGCCCTGATGCTCCTCTCGGATGCATGGTTATATTTTAAAACAAAGCCCTCTGCTCTGATCCATAAATGTCAGCGAATAACCTTTTGCAACGGAACATTCGTTTTTCTCACTTTTGATATTTTGACAGGTGTCCACTGGCTCCTTGGAGAGCAAATAAACACGAGAACAGCTAATGAAGCGCTTGA